CACTTAATGAGCGGACTGTCAACGCGGTTAACCTGGAGCATACCAAGTGCGACCCTGGCACATCAGTGGCACAAAACAACAACAACAGCAGCGACAACAACAACAACAGCATCAACATCAACAACAACAGTAGCAAAAGCAACAACGACAACAGCAGCAAAAACAACAACAGCAGCAGCAGCAACAACAGCAGTAGCAACAACAACAGCAGCAACAGCAAACAGCAGCACAACAACAACAACAACAACAACAGCAACAACAACAACAATAACTGTGGTACTTTACAATTCAAGATTTTCGGGTTATGCAGCCGTTCGGAACAATTAGCTTTAATTAAAAAAAATAACTGAATAAAGTCAACATTTACAAATAAACAAACGACGAAATAAAAGAGAATAATCAGAAAAAAATAATAAATCAATATCTACAAGTAAACAAACGAATAAATAAAAGAGAATAATTGAAATAGAATAAATAAAATTATAAATCAACATCTACAAACAAACAAACGACATAAAAAAGACGAACACAAACACGAAACAAAAGAGGATTTTTAAAAGAAAATAAATTGAATAACTCGACATAAACAAACAAACAAACAAACACTGAATAGAAGATAATTTTAATAGAAAATAAATAAATGTATAAATCTACATCTACAAATATACGAACATGAAACAAAAGAGAAAAAACAGAAAAATAATAAATAAATGAATAAATCCACAGCTACAAAGAAACAAACACTATATAAAAGAGAATAATTAAAAGAAAATGAATAAAGATAATAAATGAAAGAAAATAAATAAATGAATAAATCCACAGCCACAGAGAAACAAACACGAAATGAAAGAGAATAATAAAAAGAAAATAAATAAAGAGAATAAATAAAAGAGAATCAAATAAATAGAACAAATAAAAGAGAATAAATAAATAGAATAAATGAAAAAGAATGAATGAAAGAGAATAAAATGAAAGAAAATGAATGAAAGACAATAAATAAAAGAGAATAAATAAATAGAACGAATGAAAAAGAATGAATGAAAGAGACTAAAAGAAAGAGAATAAATAAAAGAGAATAAATAAAAGAGAATAAATGAAAGAGAATAAATAAAGAACATAAGTAAAGAAAATAAAACAAAGAAAATAAATAAAGAGAATAAATGAACGAGAATAAATAACTGAATAAATCCACAGTCACAGAAAAACGAACCAGAAGCGAAAAGTAAAGTAAAAAAATGAATGGATGAGCACCACGTAAATGTTAATTTGAATTAGTTATTAACAAAATATTTAAAATGTTAATAAATACGTTCACTATGTATATCAACAACATAGTAAACGTATTAAATTAAGTATGGCAATAAAGTAATTTGCATACTTGAATTACATAAAGCGTTTATTTATTCTCTTTCATTTATTCTCTTTTAATTATTTTCTGTTATTTCGTGTTTATTTCTTTGTGGCTTTGGTTTTATTAATTTATTAATTCTCTTTATCTATTTTCTTTTGTTTAGACGTCGAATTACTGTTATTCACGTGGCAGGAGAACAAAACTAACACAAACGGCTTTGTTGTTCTTTACGAGTAAAACAAAAACGAAGAAAAATGAAAAATGGTTAGTCTTTGTTTGTTTGTGTGTTTGTCTTTTGAAAAACGAAAAAGATGGTATGTCTTTGTTTGTTTGTTTGTCTCTGTCGTTGTTTCGCAATTGAGATAAATGAAGATAATTAGATAGATAGAAAGTTTGGCAGATAGATAGATAGGTATGTACATTGGTAGAATGAGATGGATAAGAGGAGGCAGAAAAGGGAGGATAAAGAGAAAGGAATGCATGGATAGATAGATAGACAGAATAAGAAGACGGAAACATGAGAGTAAAGAGGGGGGAAAGAGACAGAGAAAAGGAAAGAAATGAAAAGAGAATGAGAGAGGCAGAGAGGAAGAGTGAACAGTATGACAAAAAAACGAAGAAAAAAAAGAAAAACGCGACAGAGATAGACTAAGAGAGAGAGAGAGAAAAGAAAAGCGCGAAGAAAGATAGACATAGAGAAGAATAGAGAAAGGAGAAGATGGATAGATAGAAAGATAGAGAGACAGATAGATAGAGAGAGATAAAGATGAAAAGAAAGAGGACGAGAGAGAGAGAGGAAAAGAGGGAGAGGGAGAAAGAGAGAGAGAGAAAGAGGGAGAGAGAGAGAGAGGGGGGCTGAAAAGAAAGGTCAACAGAAAGGTAAAGAGAAAAAAACAGAAAGAAGAGATAAAAAGAGAAAAACATAGAGAGAAAGAGAGAAAGAGAGAGAGAGAGAGAGAGAGAGAGAGAGAGAGAGAGAGAGAGAGAGAGAGAGAGAGAGAGAGAGAGAGAGAGAGAGAGAGAGAGAGAGAGAGAGAGAGAGAGAGGAGAGAGAGAGAGAGAGAGAGAGAGAGAGAAGAGAAGAGAGAGAGAGAGAAGAGAGAGAGAGAGAGAGAGAGAGAGAGAGAGAGAGAGAGAGAGAGAGAGAGA